CCCTCCGATTCCCCCCCCTTCATTCTTCCCTTCCTTCTCCTAATGTCCTCCATGCTATTCCTTATGTTCCACATATAAGTGAAACATATGATAATTGACTTTCTCTGCTTGACTTATTTCACTTAGCGTAATCTCCTCCAGTCCCATCCACACATAAGTTTTTAAAGAGGAATTATAGATCTGCTGATGTATCATGGGTTCCCGGCTGAGCTCACAAATACAATGAAACACCGCATCTGAGACATGTTTTGAAGGTTGAGTTGATAGCACCTGCTATTAGAGGTGAGGGAAAGAGGATTAGGGATGGTGCTTAAGTTTTTGGTTTGAGCTACTACATGGATGGTAATGTCACATATCGTGATGGGAAAGATTGAAGGAGAAATAGTTTCAGTTGGTAAGTTGAATTAAGCATTCCCTTTGACAGGTTTCAGATATGTATGAGACATCTAAGAGGTAGGTAAACATAAGAGTCTGGATTTTAGAGCTGGAGCTAAAAACTGTGGTAGTTAAAGCCATAAGGGCTTGATCACTTCATCTTGGTAGAGAATAAAGAGGATAATGGTAGGTCCAGAATTGAACTTTGAAACATCCTAATATTGTGGGGATTGAACAGAAAAGGTTAAAGTGTCAAGAATTGAGGAAAACAAAGCACAAACAATGAATCAGGAATAAGTGTAACTTTGGATCTTTAATTACACTGGAAGCTAGAATACAGTACTTCAATCTGTTAAAAATTCTTAGTAAAATTTATTTTCAGTCTAGAATTTTGTACTCAGACAAGCTCTCAACCAAATGCAAGAGTTAAATAGACATTTTCAAAATTCAAAAAAATCTAAAAAAATTACCTACCACGCACCTTTGCTCAGGAAGCTCCTACAGGGTATGCTCTAAGAAAAGAAAGAAGTAAGCTAAGAGAGAGAAGCACATGGGATTCAGGGAAAAAGAGAGCCCTACTGAAGTGAGAGGTGGAGGGAATTCCCGATATAGCAACAGTGGAAATTCCAGGGTGACATTTGTACAATTGGCCTAGAGAGTAGCACATTAGATTGGAACAGAAGGATATAGAACTCCAAGAGGGATGTCTCCAGGAAAAAAATCCTTCAACTTGAGATAGTTATTATTTCCACTAGACCATAAGCTCCATGAAGGCAGGTATTTTCATCCGTTTTATATATTTTAAGCACCAAGAATAGTGCCTGGCACCTAGTAGATATTTAATGGATATTTGTTGAATGAATACAATGAATCCACATTTCACATGTGAGAAAACTGAGATATGGAGATTCTGTAACTTGCCCAACCTTATACAGTTATTAAGTGCCTGACGTGGGATTTGAACCTAGGCAGTCTTGCTCTAGAGTCAGGGCTATTAACCTCCTTAGTGGTTTTATATATACATAAACTAGATTTTAAAGAGGTAGATGTGGGGGGCGCCTGGGTGGCTCGGTGGTTAAGCGTCAGCCTTCGACTTGGGTCATGATCTCCAGGTCCTGGGATCCAGCCCCATGTTGGGCTCCCAGCTCAGCGAGTCTGCTTCTCCCTCTCCCTCTGCTCTCCCCCTACCTGTGCTCTTTCTGTCTGTTTCTGTATCTCTCTCAAATGAATAAATAAAATCTTTATTTTTTTTTTATTTTTTATTTTTTTTATAAATAAAATCTTTAAAAAAAAATAAAGATGTAGATGTGGAAAGGTAGGAGGGGAAGTAGGATATGGTGTAAGTGATAGATCTTCCAAAGAAAATTAATAATAAGAAAAGAGTGGCTACCTTTTGGAAGGGGAAGTGGTGACTGATGTTTTGATTTTGGATCTTTTAGCATTAAGACTTTTTAAACTCTGTGTCACGTAGATAAAACTTAAATTTATCTAAGTCAAATGACAAATATGGAATAAATAGGAGCTTTTAGAGACAAGAACCATAAGAGTTTGTTTCCTTTTCGTTCTATTAATTCTCATATGATATATTTTCTATCTAGTATTATTTATTCTCCTAAATAACTTTAATTCTATGAAGCGGATAGGTAAAGCATTGTTTATCCCCATTTTACAAATAAAGGAAGAAGTTACTTAATCAAGGTCACACAGCTAGTGAATAGCCTCGTGGGGCTCTGAATGTAATACTTCTGCCTCTTAGCCTAGTGCCCCTTGACCTACTACCATGAGGGTATACTAGTTTTTTTCTCCAGATACACTATTAAGATAGTTTAGAATAAAATATATTCACTCAAGTCACTTTATTTATGGGAAACTGCTACTACTGAATTCTTTCTATTAACTCTCAAACTTCATTAGTGGGGAATTTAAACTTGGCATTATCTAGCAAAACCCAGTAGAAATTTCTAGTTTTGAAATGATAATTAATTTCCTATACAAAAACAGCCAATGGTCTTTTTTTTGGCGTTGTTTTGTGATTCCGTCCTATTATCTCTTACCTGTTGAGAAGCATGAACATTGTCTCAAGGGCTGTATCCTGACTTTATGTTTAAATCGTAGATTTGTCATTCTCCAAAATGGGCTGATTTATAAATCCCATCTTAGATCTGACATGAAGTGGCCTCAGCCTTCAGAGATGGAAATTCCTGGTGGAATGAAGTGGCAGTTGAATACCTACACCTGCACATCAACGCTCTGGAAACATATTTCTATTCCTCCTGTTCCCCACATGGTAATGTTTATTAGGTATTATTACCTAGAATACTCGAATGGTAGCCGTAGATCAAAAGAAAGAGATTTGAGAGAGAGAACTGACAGGAGTTGCTAATAGATTGAAAGTTGAAATATGGGTCCCCAATAAATTATCTGCAATTCTAAAATTCAAAAAGCTCCAGAAAACAAGGTTTTTTGTGGGGTTTTTTTGTGTTTTTTTTTTTTTGTTAAGTTTGCAACAAACTGTTTTGGCTGCAAAACTTTATCTGAACTCAGATGAGGCTGTAGTTATTATTTATCTAACTGTAAATATTCACACATGAATTTTGCATTTGTGTTTTGCTGCAGAGATATTAATGTGTTTGATTAACAGGGTGCTATTCCAGCCCCCCCTGGGGTGTTACTAATATATTCTTTGTGTAATTTCTAAATTATTTTTCCAAAATACAAAACATTTTGAATTCCAAAATACATTTGGCCCCAAGGGCTTAAGGATGTGGACCTGTGCTATTTTTATATGATTTTGCTTTAAAACTGCATATTATCTATTGAGTACACAGTGACTTTGTTTTCCTAATATGCAGCTGAGGTACGTTCTAGGAATGACAGTTTTGAGAGGATTTGGGAAACAGGAGTTAAGTAATTTCAAAATGTACTGAGGAAAGGTGTGGCTGCTTCATAGTGGACACAGATGACTAAGAACCTAGCAAGGGTATAGCAAGGGAATTTTGGGGTTTGGAATGAATAGGAAGAAGTGTAGGAACAACCTAACAGTTGGGGTCAAATTTACGTTAGAAAAGCTATTAATATTATTCCCTTATTTTCCTTTAAATGGCTGCAAGATCTGGTGATTTCCGTTCTTTCATTCTTGATATTGGTGATTTGTGTCTTCTGTTTTTGGCAATCTTGCTACAGAGTTATCAATTTTGTTGATCGTATCAAAGAACCAACTTTTAGTTTTATTGAATTTTCTCTATTGGCTTTCTGTTTTTAATTGTATTGATTTCTGCTTTTATCTTTGTTATTTCCCTCCTTCTGCTTGACTTGAGCTTATTTTGCTCTTCTCCTAGTTTCTGAAGAAAGCAGTTTGGATTATGGATTTGATACTTTTCTAATATATTGTTTAATGGTATAAAACTCCCACTAAGTCCCTGCTTTAGATGTTTTATTTTCATTTTCGTCCAGTTCAATGTATTTTTAATTTCTTTCTGACTCAGAGATTATTTAGAGGTATGTTGTTTAACTTTTATTTTCTGTTTTTTCCCTCTATTCATCATCATTGTTGTTCCTCTGTTTCTTCTTTCTTGCCTTCTTTTGGGTTCTTTGAATATATTTTGGAATAGTATTTCCTTTTAATTTATATGTTGTGATTTGGACTATATCTCTCTGTATGGTTTTTTAGTGTTTGCTCTAGCATGTACAAAATACATACTTTTCACAGTCCATTTAGAATAAGAATTTTACCATTTCAATTGGAGCGTAAAAGCATTAGCACCATATAGGTCCCCTTACCTTCCTCCTTTTACGTTACATTGAAAAGACCAATCAGATTAAAAAAAAAAAAAAGGAAAGGACCAATCAGACAATCTTACACTTTTTGCAGAACTCAAGAATGGGAGAATAGCCTGTTATATCTACTGAGATACTTACCATTTCTGTTGCTTTTCCTTCATTTCTTCTAGTATCATTTCCTTTCTACCTGAAGAACATCCATTAGCAATTCTGGCGATGAATTCTCTTATTGTTCCTTCATTTGAGAATGGCTTCATTTCACCTTTAATCCTAAAGCAATTTTAAAAAATTTTTTATTGTTATGTTAATCAACATACATTACATCATTAGTTTTTGATGTAGTGTTCCAATTCTAAAGCAATTTTTACTGGATACAGAATTCTGGAGTGACAGTTCTTTTCTTTTAGCATTTGAAAGATGGGCCACTTTATTCTGGCTTCATGGTTTCTGGTGAAAAATCCTTATTCTGGCTTCATGGTTTCTGGTGAAAAATCCTGTCATCTGAATCATTTGTTCCCCTGTAGATATTGCATAGTTTTTCTGTGGCTGCTTTCAGGATATTTTCTCTGTCTTTCATTTTCAGAAGTTTGAATATGATGGCATGGATTTGGGGAGTTTATTCTGCTCAGGTTTGTACAGCTTCTTGAATCTGCATTTTTATATCTTTTGCCAAACTTGGGAAGTTTTCTGCCCTTAATGCTTCAAATGTTTTTTTCAGCACTATAGTCATTCTCTTTCCCTTCTGTGACTCTGATGACACAAATATTAGACCTTTAGATTGTGGTCCCACTGGTCCCTGAGGCTCTTTGTTTCTTTTAAATCTTTTTTTTCCTGTTCTCCAGAATAAATAATTCCATTGGTCTGTCTTCAAGTTCAGTGAATCTTTCCTCTGTCATCTGCATTCTGATATTGGGTCCTTCAGTTGTGTATTTTTATCTCAGTTATTGCAGTTTTTAGTTGTGAAACTTCCATTTGTCTTTTCCTATATCTTCTGTTTCTTTGCTGATGCTTTCTATTTTATTTCAGGAGTGTTCATGATTACTCATTCAAGCATTTTATAATGGCCACTTGAAAGTCTTTGTCAGATAATTTCACCATCTGTGTCATCTCATCATTGGTGTATGTTGATTACCTTTTTGTCATGCAAGTTGAGATTTTTATGGCTCTTCATGGGTCAACTAATTTTGGATTGCGTCCTGGACATTCTTGACTATTACTTTGTCTCTGGGCCTTATTAAATTTTATGGAGAATGTTGGTATTTGTGTTTTAGCAGGGATTTGACCTGGTTAGGTTTAAGCTGCACATTCTGCCTCCTTCTCTGGCCTGTGGTTCTAACCAGTGTCAGCTCGGTTTCTGCAGCCTTTGTGCTGCTATTCGGGCCTGTCCTGCGTGTGTGCCACCCGATGGTCAGCCTGGGGCCTGGGTGTTGGCCTCTCCCCTGTAATCATTCTTCAGTATGTTCATCAAGATCAGATCTACCATTGTGTTTTCATTTTCATCTGTTTCCATGTAATTTTTGACTTATTCTTTGATTTCTTCTTTGACCTATTCCTTGTTTAATAGCATGTTATTTAACTTCCATGTATTTGTGGGCTTTCCATATTTTTTCCTATAGTTGATTTCTAGTTTCATAGTGCTGTGGTCAGAAAAGATGCATGGTATGCCTTCTATCTTTTTGAATTTGTTGAGACCTGTTTCATGACCTAATATGTCATCTATTCTGGAGAATGTTCCATGTGTGCTTGAAAAGAATGTGTATTCTGTTTTAGGATGGAATGTTCTCAATATATCTATTAAATCCATCAGTTCCAGTGTGTTATTCAAAGCCATTGTTTCCTTGTTGATTTTTTGTTTGGATAATCCGTCCATTGATGTAAGTGGGATGTCATAGTTCCCTACTATTATTTGTATTACTATCGGTTAATTCCTCTATGTTTGTTATTAACTGTTTTATGTATTTGGGGGTGCTCCCATGTTGGGTGCATAAATATTTGCAATTGTCGTATCTTCTTATTGGATCATCCTCTTTATGATTATATAGTGTCCTTCTTTGTCTTTTGTTACAGTCTTTGTTTTATTTTTTATTTTTTTTAAAGATTTTATTTATTTAATTTGTCAGAGAGAGAGAGCACAAGCAGGGGGAGTGGCAGGCAGAAAGAGAAGCAGGCTCCCCACTGAGCAAGGAGTCCAGTGTGGGACTTGATCCCAGGACCCTGGGATCATGACCTGACCCGAAGGCAGATGCTTAACCGACTGAGCCACACAAGCATCCCTATTGTTTATTTTTTTAAAAGATTTTATTTATTTGTTTGAGAGAGAGCAGGGGGTAGGAGTGGAGGGAGAGGGAGAAGCAGATTCCCAGCTGAGCAGGGAGCCTGACAAGGGGTACAATCCCAGGATCCTGAGATCATGACCTGAGCTGAAGGCAGACCCTTAACTGACTAAGCAACCCAGGCGCCCCTACAGTCTTTGTTTTAAAGTCGATTTTGTATGATATAAATATTGCTACCCTGGCTTTCTTTTGACATCCATCTCCTGAGGCAAGGGAAATAAAAGCAAAGGTAAACTATTGGGACTACATTAAAATAAAAAGCTTCTGCACAGCAAAGGAAACAATCAACAAAACTAATAGGTAACCTATGGAATGGGAGAAGATATCTGCAAGTGACATATCCAGTAAAAGGTTAGTATCCAAAATCTATAAAGAACTTATCAAACTCAACACCCAAAAGATGAATAATCCAATTTAAAAATGGCCAGAAGACATGAACAGCCATTTCTCCAAGAAGACAATCAGATGGGCACTTGGGTGGCTCAGCTGGTTAAGCGTCTGCCTTCAGCTCAGGTCATGATCCCAGGGTCCTGAGATCGAGTCCCGCATTGAGCTCCTTGCTCAGCAGAGAGCCTGCTTCTCCCTCTCCCTCTGCTGCTCCCCCTGCTTGTGCAATCTCTCTCTCTTTCTCTCTTTGACAAATAAATAAATAAAATCTTAAAAGAAAGACATACAGATGGCCAACAGACACATGAAAAGATGCTCAGCATCACTCATCATCTGGGAGATGTAAATCAAACCCACAATGAGATATCCCCTCACAGCTGTCAGAATGGCTAAAAGCAACAACACAGGAAACCGCAGATGTTGGTGAGGATGGGGAGAAAAGGGGAACCTCTTGCACTGTTGGTGGGAATGCAAACTAGTGCAACCACTCTGAAAAATAGGGAGGGTCCTCAAAAGTTCAAAATAGAACTACCTTATCATCCAGCAATCACTACTGGGTACTTACCCAAAGCATACAAAAACCCTAATGCAAAGAGATACATGCATCCAAAAGTTTACTGCAGTATTGTTGACAGCAGCATTATTGACAGTATGGAAACAGCCCAGTGTCCATCGATAGATGAATGGATGAAGAAGATGTGGTATATATTTATAGTGGAATATTATTCAGCTCTAAAAAGAATGACGTCTTCCCATTTGCAATGACATGGATGGAGCTAGAGAGTATTCTAATTGAAAACCTAACCCTCAGCCAAACCCTAACTCTAACCCCTAACTGTTAACCACTAACCCCTAATCCTAAACCCTCACCCTGACCATAACCCTCTACCTAAATGCATCCCTCTGTAGAGGTCTCTGAACTGCAGGACAGTAGGCCCATACCCTTATCCCAGCCCTAACCCTAATGCTTATCCTTATGCCAACTCTACACCAAGCCCTACTCCAAGATCTGAGGAAAGAAAATATTTGGTGTATATATACAATGGTATGTTACTCAGGCATGAAGAACAAGGAAATCTTGCCATGTGTAATGACATGGATAGAGGTAGAGACTATTCTTCTTTTTTTTTTTCTTGTAATTGAAAACCCAATCCTAAGCCAAACCCTAAACTTTACCCCTAACCACTAACTGCTAACACCTAACCCTAACCCATCAATCTGACTATTACACTTGCCCTAAATTTATCCCTCTGTAGAGGTCTCTGAACTACAGAACAATAGGCTCATACCGCCACCCTGGCCATAACCCTAACCCTTACCCCTATTCCAGCCCTACACTGAACCCTACTCTAAGGTCTGAGGAAAGAAAAGATTTGGTAGATTTGGTGTGTATACACACACACACACACACACACACACACACACACACGAATATTACTCAGCCACAAAAAAGAATGAGATCTTGCCATTTGCAATGACAAGGATAGAGCTAGTATGCTAAGTGAACTAAGTCAGTCAGAGAAAGACAAATACCCTATGATTTCACGCATATGTGGAATTTAAGAAACAAAACAAATTGAGCAAAAGGAAGAAAAGAGAGGGAGGCAAACCAAGAAACAGACTCTTAACTATGGAGAAGACACTGATGGTTACCAGAGGGGAGGTGGGCGGGGGGATGGGTGAGCTAGGGGATGGGGATGAAGGAGTGCAGTTGTTGTGACGAGCAGCGGGTGTTGTATGTAAGTGTTGAATCACTATATTGTACACCTGAAACTAATATTACACTCTGTGTTAACTATACTGGAATTTAAATAAAAACTTAATTAAAAGAAAATCAAACCTACCCCTGCACAGGTGGAGGGAGGGGCACCATGAGCGCAGGAGTTCACAAACAGCTTCCCTGTGTTTTTCTCTCTCTGCTTTCTCTCCAGTATTTTCCTCTGGTCCCAAACCCTACTCACTTCTGTGATTGAGACAAGTCAGCGTTCCAAGTGGCGGTAGGACAAAGAGAATTAAAAAAAAAAAAAAAAAAAAAATTGTCCCTCCGCTCATGGAGCCACAGCTCCACCTAATGGAGAAGAAAACTTCTCTCCTTGGAATATTGGCCACCTTTGTTGCCCTGATAGCACTGGGAGCTGGGGCGTGGTAGAATAGAGAAAAAGGAGGAAAAAGGAAAAACACTGGGGGACTTTCTGACTCTCTCTGAGCTTTAGAAGTTCTCTTTAGAGCTACTCAGGTCAGAGCTAGACTTCTGGAATTTTCTCTCATCTGTACAATAGTGATCTCTTCCAGGTTTCAGGCTGCTTTCAGTCCAGTGTGGAGGATAATGGAAGGGAAAAAGGATAAATTCACTTCCAGTTCAGTGGTACTTTTAATTCTGGTGTTTTCCGTACTCTACTTGCTGATGTTTACTTTTCTATTTTCTGTCTCTATCAATTTGACTATTATAGGTACCTCATTATAAGTGCATTCATAATTTGTCCTCTTGTGTCTGGCTTATTTCACTTAGTGTAATGTCTTCAAGATTCATCCATGTTGTAGCCTCAGAATTTCATTCTTTTTTAAGCCGAAATAATTTTCCATTGTATATATTTACAACATTTTGTTAATCCATGCATCCACTGATGGACATTTGGGTTGTTTCCATCTTTTGGTTATTGTGAATAATGCTGCTATGAACACTGGTGTACAAACATCTGTTTGAGTTTCTGCTTTCAATTCTTCGGGTATATACCTGGAGGTAGAATTGCTGGATCATATCGTAATTCTATGGTTAATTTTTTTAGGAATTGTCATACCATTTACTCCAGTGGCTAAAGCACTTTGTATTTCTACCAGCAATGCATGAGGGTTCCAGCTTCTGAACACACTCACCAACACTTGTTTCCTGGATTAAAAAAAATTATTATAGCCACTGCTAATGGGTGTGAATTAATATCTCATTGTGATTTTCATTTTCATTTCCCTAATGTTTAGTGACGTTGAGCATCTTTTCATGTGATTTTTTGCCTTTTGTGTATTTTCTTTGGAGAAATGTCTATTCAAAACCTTTGGCCATTTTTGAATTTGGTTATTTGTTTTGTTGTTGTTAAATTGTAGATGTTCTTATACATTTTGGATATTAATCCCCTCTCAGATATATGATTAGGAAATATTTTCTCCCATTCTGTGGGTTGTCTTTTTACTCCCGTGATTGTGTCCTTAAATACACAAAATTTTTAGAGATTTCATGAAGTCCAATTTATCTACTTTTTGCTTTTGTTGCCTGGACTTTTGGTGTCATATTTAAGAATTCACTGCCAAATCCAATGGTATGAAAGTTACCGCCTATGTTTTCTTCTAAGATTCTTCCAGTTTTCACTCTTAAGTTTAGGTCTTTGATCAATTTTGAGTTAATTTTTGTATATACTGTGAGGTAAAAGTCCAACTTTATTGTTTTGCATGTGACTATCCAGTTGTCCCTGTATCATCTGTCGAAGACTGTCCTTTTTCCATTGAATGGTCTTGGCACCCTTGTCAGAAATCAATTGACTAGATATGTGAGGGTTTTTTCTGTGCTCCTTCTTCTATTTCATTGGTTTATATGTCTGTCTAGTCCTAAATTTGTCATGTTCAAGGAAAGATCATTGTCCTGGCTAGAAATGGTTCCATATATTTGTTCTCAAAATTAAATATGTAGCAGAATTTTTTTCTGTATCTTACAACATTTCTTATTAAATACTAGTAGAAAATGTACTATATAGTAACTGACACTTTTCTTTAAGGTATTGCCTCCAGTGGGCTATCCAGTGACTTCACAGCAAGTGCCTATGTATAGAACGGTAAGAAAAAACCCTTTTAAGATATCAAGAGTGAGAAATATAGGTAAAATTCCCCATGGTTTGCACTAACAAAAAAAGCATGATATAGATCATTTAAAATGGAAGGTAGTCCATCCATGTCCTTCCCTCACATTGGAAAAAGAAATAGCAGCCCTTTGAGAAATGATATAGCAAAGGCTTTGTGTGATGGATAAAGGGAATAGAGAAAGGAACCCTAGAAATGGGGAGGAGAAGGGATGTGTGGTAGTGGAATAGTTTAGAGAAAGCTGTTCTAGAATTAATAGATAATCCAAAATAGGAATAATCAATATGCACATAATAGAGATTCAACTAAGCCTTAGTTTACATTCATGAAGTCCAGTTTATCTACTTTTTTTCTTTCGTTGCCTGGACTTTTGGTGTCATATTGAAGAATTCATTGCCAAATCCAGTGGTATGAAATTTACCCCCTATGTTTTCTTCTTCTTCTTTTTCTTTATTTTAAATGTCCAGCGTTTATAATACGAGGGCCAGAGCTTTCTCCCCAACTCAAGTTTATAAATTTTCGATTGGTTTGTGAGGCCAATAGGGATACTTCTTCTTGTCTAATTTGGTTTCTGGGAAGACTTCATTCAGGTCCTCAGTGGTCATCTGATCAGATGGAATTATGTTCTTCATCTTCGCCAGCTCTTGTTCATATTCCTCAATCCTGGCCTTTGAGAGAGACAAAACCTCAGCCCAACTGTTCACATCTTTTTCTTCAGCATCCACCTGAACAGTGTATTTATTCTCTGGCACCAGAAACTTCAGGGCATTAAAGTGCTTCTCAAAGACTCATCTACCAAACCAGCCTTCACCACATTGGCCTTGTCGTAAGCCCAGTTGATAGCAGGTGGTTTCTCAGGGAGAGTAGCCAACCTGGAGGTAAGTGTTTCATTCCAGGATTTCAGGGTGTTAGCAATGGCCTTCTGGTTTCAGGGTATGATCTCCCCAAAAGCTACCCAGTCACTAGTTTCTAGAGCAAGTTTTTGCCCCAGCCATCTTGAGATCCTTCACCGACCCCGGCAGCCCACAGTCCATAGCAGCAAGGAGCCCCTATGTTTTCTTCTAAGATTCTTATAGTTTTACCTCTTAAGTTTAGGCCTGGTTTGCTGCTGGTTTTCCTCCCTTTCTGCAGGGATTTTGTTGTTATTTCATTTTGTTTTGTTTGGGATCATTTCCCTTCTTTATCAAGCAGGTAAAAAAAGTGAAATTTAATAAGCTGAATTTGTTCTTATTGTTCAAGACTTGCAATGGGAGAAATTGTTAATACAAGCAAAATATCTGGAATTTTTCTGATTTCAGGCTTTTTATCCAACCCTTTTCTAGCTCATTTAACCTGTTATTTCTGTTCTGCCGATTTGGCAATGTTTTCATGATTTAAAATTTTTCTTTACTTACTTAAAAACTGTTTGCAATCAGCAGTTCTTATAGCTTATAAGTTCTTATAGTTTTTATAGCTTCAATGCGTTTACATAAATTTCATGTGATATAATACAGTTAATGGAAACTCTGAAGTTCAGTCTACACAGCCTCAGCACCAACTCACTCATGTTCTTGTTGGTGCTGTTAATTTGGGAAAATGTTAAAAATACAGGAAAGTACAGAAGATAATAGCCATCCATGCTTCAACACCCTAAATTACTAAGTGTTAATATTTTGTCATACATTTTTCCAGATCATTTTTAATGAAATTTTACAAATAAAACCAAAATAATCTTGGCACACTCGAGTGCTAGTCACCCTCCACCTCTCCAGAGACAATGACTGTGACGAATTTATGTATGGCCTTCCAGAACATTTCCATTCTTTACTGTGGAAAAATAAGTAGTATTATTTTATATGATTTTTTAAAAAACTGATTATAATCATTATCATTTCCTACTTATGTTTTTGAGATCTATATAGATTGGTGCTTATTAATTATAATGGCTCAGTGGCATTCTACATAGGAATACTACCATGTAGTAGTATATTTTATCCCTTTACTGAAAAATTCCTCCAAAGAATTCTCTTGAACCTATTTTAGTAAGGACTCTGCCTGCCCCCATTGTTCTTATCTCAGTCATGAGTGACCTCCATATTATGATAACCAATGGCCCCTCCTCAGTCCACATCATGTCTTACCAATGGCATTTGATACAGCTGATTGCTCCCTCCTTGAATACTTTCTTTCACTTATCTTCTAGGACATCATACTCTCAGCCTTTTGTTCCTTCTCAGTTTCCTCTTTCCTGTCACTAAATATTGGACAGGATCAATCTCTGGATCAATCTCTGAGTACCTACTCTATCAACATTCATTCCCTTGGTGATTCCATCTACACCATGGCTTTAAATGTACATTTATATACTGATGACTCCCAAAGTTGTATCACCAGTCTAGAGCTCTTCCCTGCTACCAGTTTATATATCCAACTACCTAATTGACATCTTCACTTGAATGCATAGTAGGCATCTCAAACAGTATGTGTCCAAAACTGAACTCTTGATCTCCTCAGAGCTGTTCTACCCACAGCCATCCTAATCACAGCTGATGGTAACTTTATCTTTCCAGTTGCTCAGGCCAAAAACCTTGGAGTCCTGCTTGACGCCTCTTTCTTTTGCTTCATAAGTGATTGGCTTACAGTATAAGTTAGACCAAGCCACTCAGGTATAACCGCCCCCCTCCCATTTCTCTCAGAGTAAAAGCCAAGGTTCTCCATGCTCTCTCTCTGTCTTCATATCCTGGCACTCTTGCCTGGCTTAGTTCATTCTAGGCTGTTCTTTGAGTACACCAGGCATCCTCCCAGCTCAGGGCATTTGCAACTTTCTGTGCCCTGGCCTTGCAGCACTATTTTCCTAGATACCCATTTTGCTCACTACCTTATTTCCTTCAGGGATCTGAACAAATGAGTCCATTCTTGACTACCCCATATAAATGGTACCCCACTATTACCCAATGAGTTACTTTTCTGTCCTTATCTTACTCAACACTTCTATCACTCAGCCAGCACATATTCTTAAGCATCTACTATGTTCTAGGTACTGTTTTAGAAGCTGAGCATATAGCAATAATCAAAAGAAACAAAAATCCATGCCCTTGCGGGACATACATTCTAATCGTGGGGAGTACAAACAATAAATAAAATAAATAAGGTGACATGCTAGGAAGACATTTAAAGCAGGGAAGAAGAATTTAGAGAATTGGGGTAGGTTTCCAGTGAACACTTTATTGAGAATATGACTCAGTCTTAAGTAGAAAACTGAAAGAGGAGAGGGAATAGGCCATGTGGAAGATCAGTTCCAGGGAGAGGGAGTGGTCAATGCAGAAGTCTTGAAGAGTGTCAGGAGAGAGCAGATGAGATCACCTAGGAGTGAGTGTAGACAGTCACACAGGTCCAAGGAGTGAGCTCTGGGATGACTTGCCATTCATGGGGCAGGGAGATGCAGAGGAACTTACAAAGGAGGTAGAAAAGGAGTAGCCAGTGAGGGAAGAAGGATGTTTCTTGAAACACTCTTAGATTTGGAAACACCGCACTTTCTTAGTTTTCCTCCTTTCCTCCTACCTCTTTTCTTTTAACGTTCTTAAAAATTTTATTTGACTATAGTTGACAGACAATGTTACATTAGTTTCAGGTGCGCAGCATAGTGATTCAACATCTCTCTCTGTAATGCTCACCGCAAGTGTAGCTACCATGGGTCAGCATACAGTGCTGTTACAGTATCGTTGACTATATTTCCTGTGCTGTGCCTTTCATTCCCATGACATATTCATTACATCACTGGAAGTCTGTATCTCCCACTCTCCTACACCCGTTTTACCCCTCCGTCACCCCCCTCCCCTCGTGCAGCCATCAGTTTGTGCTCTGTATTTGCAGGTCTGATTCTGCTGCTTGTTTGTTTATTCATTTGTTTTGTTTTTTAGATTCCACACATCAGTGAAATCATATGATATTTGTCTCGCTCTGACTTATTTCCCTTAGCCTAATACCCTTTAGGTCCTGTCATGTTGTTGTAAATGATACAGTCTCATCCCTTTTTATGGCTGCATAATATTCTGTCTTCCTTATCCACTTGTCTGTCAGTACACACTTAGGTTGCTTCCATATCTTGGCTATTGTAAATAATGCTGCCATAAACATAGGGATGCATATATCTGTTTGAATTAGTATTTTCATTTTCTTGGTGTAAATACCCAGTAATGCAATTGCTGGGTCATAGGGTATGAGGAACCTCCATACTGTTTTCCAGAGTGGCTGCACCAGCTTGCACTCCCACCAACAGAGTAAGAGGGTTCCCGTTTCTCCATATCCTCGCCAGCACCTGTTGTTTCCTGCGTTGTTAATTTTAGCCATTCTGACTGGTGTGAGGTGATACCTCATTGTAGTTTTGATTTGTATTTCCCTGATGGTTAGTGATGTTGAACATCTTTTCATGTGTCTATTGGCCATCTAGCCATTTTTCTTTGGAAAAATGTCTTTTCAGGTATTCTCATTTTTTTAATTAACATATAATGTATTGTTTGTTTCAGGGG